ACAAAGGCCCCGGCTCCTAAACTGGGCCCTGTAAAGCTTGGTCTTGTCGGGACATCCCCTCCCCTCTCCTAGTTTTCTCTTTTCCCCTTTCGTTAGGTACACCTCTCGATCATCAGACCACTGATGCCCGAAAATGGTGTCGTCGAGCTCCCGACAATAGGGCTTGGTTGTGCCGTCCTTTTCCTGGATGTATTCAACCTCGAACACCTTGCCCAGTTCCTGAAACCGCCCATCTGAACTGATCTCAAAAATGTTCCGGTGATTGGGGCCCCCTATCCTCGTACTGGTGCTGTCGTGGAGGCCCGGGTGCCGGCTCAAGTCCACTTGCCGCCGCCCTCGCGGCTCCGCGTCTCCCACCCAGTCTGCTCCCACCCCTCCTTGGCCAAACGCTTCTTCTCGGCGTCCTTCATCTGCTGCTGCTGCCTCCAGGCCGCCTCCCCCGGGTTCTCCGTCGGCATCCGCGGGCCCCCCTTGGCTGGCGAAGGTCCCGCCGCTGAAGGCCTCGTCGGACGCTCGACCCTCTCTTGAGGTTGCTGCCCGCCGTCCTGCATCGGGCCGCTCTGCGCCCAAGTGAGCTGCTGGGCGGACGCCGCTGGGGCCGTCGACGGGGGTTGCTGCTGAGCGCCCCCCCGGCGCCGATGGCATCGCGAAGCTGCTGAACGTGGGCGACGAGAGGAGAGCTCCCTGCTGATCGCGAAGACCCCGAGGGTTGTCCACCCTGGTCTTGGCGTAGCCGATCGGCGGAGGCCACGCCGCACTCGAGGTCTGATGAGCCCCTGGGCCAGCGCCGCACGACGGGTGGGCGCTCACCACTGGAGCCGCGCCGACGAAGCCCCAGCCCCCCTCCTGAGTCGCGACCGCGGCCGCCGACGGAGTCCCACCCCTCGGAGAGGGCAGAGCTGCGATCGAGACTCCGCGAGGCGGCGTCTGAAACGGCGGGGGCTGCTGGAGGGCCGGAGGGGTGGCGATGCTGTGATGCTCCGCTCCCGCCGGCGCCGGTGACGGTCTGGCTGTGGCCGGTCCCTGCCCTGGCCCCTCGTGCTTCGCACTCGCACTTGCCTCTGGGGTTGACGCTTCCGCCTCGCTCTTCCGACCTGGTACTTGGGCCCCTTGGGCGCCGGCTCCCGTGGCGCGAGCGGGGGCGGTGACTTCGTCGCGGCGGGTCCGGTCAGGACCTGCGCCGTCGACGAATGCGCCGAGAGCTGCTGCGCCTTCGACTGGAGAGTCGCGACCGCCTCCGTCTGGCCCGACACGGTCGCGCAGGGCTGGTTGATGGAGGCCTCCTGCTGATTCTGCTTGTTGGCGATCTGCTGCAGGAGGCGCATTGTCTCGTCGTTGCCGTCGTCCGAGCTGGCTGAGGGCTCCATCGCCGCTCTCCTGGCTGGTGATGGCGCTGCCTGTCGGCGACGCTGGGCCCTCTGCTCCTTGGCCTGCTCCTCCACGTCGTAATGATAACGTCGGGCTGCTCCGACTCGACCTGCTGATGGGGTGCCCCAGCTGCTCGAGCGTCGGCTGACGCTGGCCACGGCGGCACCGCCCCCGCCGACGCCCTCGCCGTCGGCACTCCTGGCGGAGGAGCTGGTGCCGCCACCAAGGCCTGCCACTCTGGATCGGCCCCGCCCAGCTGAGCGAAACCCTTCCCGCGCAGCGAGCAGGCGGCGGTCTGGCGCTTGCACGCGCAGGTCCTCTCCTTTTTGGGCGTGGACTTGTCTGGCTTGATGTCCTGGTAGGCGACCCGCATGGTGCGTGGCCCACACACCCACCAACGCCCATGCCCATTGCTGCCAAAGTCTACGTGGACGGGCATGTGGCGGCACGTGTAGAACTGCCGCGGGATCACCCGCATGCGCTTGACGAGGTTCGTCGGCCAGAAACGGCGATCGATCATCATCTGGCCAAGCTCGTCGGCTAGTTTGGAGAGCCAGAAGACCATGGCGCCCGCCAGGGCCGCCCGCGACCGCTGGCAGCGGGTCATGGACTGCGGTGCTGGCGCTCCGGTGGCTGCGTAGGTCCACTGCTGGTGATCAGCTGCTCGCCCATCGTCGTGGGGCGGCTGGCCCGGCGCTGCGCCGCGGTCTGCCCGTTCTCCTTGCCCTTGGAGGTGGAGGAGCCGCGGGGGCCATTGACCGATTTCAAACCTGGCGGCGGCATGGCTCGGTCTCACAAGCGCACTGCAGAACCCGACGTAGCGTTGAAGTCGCTGGGAGATGTCCCTGTCGGGTTCGCTGGGGTAGCTGGCGGCTCGTATGCTCGAGCCCAGCCGCTGCGTAATGACGATCGAAAGCGATGATCCAGAGGAACGACTGCGTGGCTCTGGCTGTCCCTCGTCTCTGAACCGACCGAAGTTCGCGAGCCTCTCGCCTTCCCGGTCGTCCCTGCCGTCGTGCCCGTTCTTCTCCTTCGGTTTTCCTATGTGCAGTCCTGCTCCCATAGTTCGATCCGGGAGGGCGCTAGGCTGCGCGAGCTCCGATCCGCACCCCTGGGAGTCTTGCCTGGGCCACCTGGGGCCCCTCGAGCTCCCGAACCTTCCCTCCCGGGGCCCGGAGTCGGTCAGCTGTCCTGGACGCAAAGCCCCTTGGGGGTCTCGAGGAGGAGGGGGGGGACAGGACCCAGCCCTAGAGGACGATGAAGGGGAGACGATGGTGCACCTAGACATCGTCTCGCTCCTGAAATCTTGCTCTCTGACCTCCGGATGCTGGCTCAGCACCGAGGGGGGGCACTTGAAAACTGCTCCCGGAGTGGGCGCTCCCAAATCGTCTAAGCGCATCGTGCGATGTCCTGTGGGAAACCGACGCATATCAGCCTTTACCCCCAGACTCTTGAGTTCAATCTGACTCGTGCTTAGGTCGATTCTCGCTCCTAGCATCTTCTGAAAACCTACTGGGAGGAGGGGTGGCACGTCCTCTTTGAGGACGTCCAACTCGATGACCCCCATATTCCCTTGGATGCCCGTGGGGATCAGGGCCGCGCTCGAAGCTGTCGCGCCCCCCCCGACTCCGCGGGCCGAGCGATTTCGGGGGGGCACCCGGGGCACTCGCAAACCTCTCTTGCTCAGAAGCTCGCAGTGCCGTTTCAAAGCTGGCATGCCGACCAGCCCTTGACCCGCTGCGGCATCGACGATCATCTCGCCGGGCTCGACGCTCATGAGGGCAACGGCGGCGCTGCCGAGGTCCGGGTCGTGGCCCTGGGTCGGGCCGAGGATGTTCGCCTAGACGTAGGCGTTGACATTCGCGGCGGCACCTGCGGTTGCACTCTGGCCATTCCGCGCCGGACACTCGCGAGACCAATGGCCCTTCTGATGGCACTTTCGGCATCTCGTCCTCTTGATCAACTCTGACAGTGCAAGACGTGACTTTCTCGGCCTGATCTGCCCGTTGGCGGCGCGATGGCCGCGCTGCTGCCTGTGGGCCGGCTCTGGCTTGTCCTTGCTGCGGTCGAAGAACTTGCGCTCGACCTTCACCTTGCGCTTAAGGTCCCGGTTCTGCTTCCACGTTTTGCGTCTCTCCTCCTGCGTCGTCGCGAACGCCCGGGGAAGCTCGTCGTCATGCAGACCTGGGCCCTCCAGCGCCACGTAGACCTGCTGCTCGCCGTCGGTGTCCAACGATGAGACGTCGTCGTCCTCCGGGGTGGAGTCGAGATCGAGATCGTCCGTCTGTACGGAGTATGTGGGCTCATCCTTGGGGAAACTATTCTCTGCCATGAACGATCTCTTTTGAAACGACAGATGCCCCCGACGAGTGACGTCCATCTCCCTGATCGCGGCGAGGGCCTCTGAGTCGGAGTCGCGGGTCTCCATCATGACCCTCATTAGCTGCTGTCCTCTCTCGTCGAGACCGACGCCTTCCTGAAGGAACCCGAACTTCCAGTCCTCTGGGACTGGAAGACCCAGAGTCGCTACCTCGTCGAATGCCAGGTCAGTCCGGGCGGCGTACTCGGTGAGACCTTCTCCTTGACGCCGCCGGAAGGAGAAGAGGCACTCCCTCCCGGCCTTCCTCTTCTCGTTGTCCACCTTCTCGCCGGACAGGAGGTCTAAGCGCTCTATGATCTTGTCGGCGCCGTTGTTGGAGGTGAGGACGTCATCCGACAGGTCGTCCATTTTCCTCTGGAGGTCGAGAGGAAGTACTTTGAGGATACGATCTGCATGCTTGTGAGCAGGAATACCCGCTAGCTGCCGCCAGCGTGCTAGCTGGCGCCTCCACAGTTTGGACTCGTCCCAACTGTTCCAGGCGTCCGGGCCAGCGAAGTCCTTGCCCCGCTCGCCCCAGCCGCCCCAGTCCTTCCAGGCGGAGTCCCCCTTCCAGCCGTCGTCCCAGCTGTCCTTCCAGCCGGACTTCCACCAACCGTTCCGGTCGGCGTTGTTCTCGACACCATCTGAGGCGTCTCGCTCTCCGGCACGTCTCCGGCTCCAGGGGTTCTCATGCTGCCACGGATCGTCATCTTGATCTGGTGCTGTCCCACTGGCCCGTCCTTCGCCTGCTGCGTCGGTTCCCCGACCTGCTTGGCTGGACTCTTGGACCTGGTCTCGCACCATCCTGATTACTTGCTGCAATTTCTGTGGCGACAGTCCCGTGGCCGGGTCCGGCCTCGCGGGTGGCGGCGCCTCTGGTGGTGCCGGCCTCGTCGCTGTCACAACTCCATCCAGCAGCGTTCTGAGCTGCTCCTCCGAGAGGCGGAACTGGCCATCCTCATCTGCCCATTGTCTTGCTGTTCCCAGGGCTGCCACGATAGATCCCTGGCCTGCCGAAGCCGAGCTGTTAGGTGAATTAGCACCCTGCTCCTGGGACATCGTCGGGTCCGCAGAACCGAGCCTCCGCAGAGGCTCCGCTACCACTCTCCCCCCCGACGTCGTCCCCAGATGACAAGGTGTCCCCCTTTCTCCGTCAGCACGGTCTCGGTCCCAGTGCGATCTCTGATCGCGCAGTACACACACACACACACTTGCACTCGTACGAGTAGAAGAGAGGAGTATGGGTCTCGGGATGGGATGGATAGTGAGTGGCTGAGGACTACCAACAAGTGAGTAGAAGAAGTATGGCCTTGAGCCAAAATGGTTACGGAGGGGGCCCAGTTCCCGACTGTACGGTTCAAGTCCAGGGGGGTGAGGGCTACTCTCCTCACCTGACCAATGAGCTAGAGGCGTTCATTCCCACACTAAGACGGCCCAAGAGGGCCCAAAGACAGCCCCAATAATGACCCAAGAGGGGCAGCACGAAACGAAGATCCGGGTCTTCCGCCCCAAGGACCCCTCAGAAGGCCACAAGGATTCCCCACGACGCCCCCGAGAGGCACCAAGGGAACCCCAAGGGGCCAAGGGGCCCCAAGCACGCCCCAAGAGGCCCCCAAACGCCCCCCAAGAAACCTCAACACGGCCCTCAAGAGGCCCTTCCCCGCGACACCCCAACGATCATCCTAGAGGTCTTTGACCCCCAACCCTGGCACGGTGGCGGGATGGGCCGAAGGCCCTTACATCCGCCGCCCCCTGTTGATTCATCACAGGGGTGCCTGGCGTGCGGTTTTGGTTGTGGTTCTTGTCCAAAAGAATCGAAGACGCCTACGGCGAACCACCGCCGCCCCCTGCCTTATGAAATCGCCCATGTGGCCGACCGTTGTGGCAAGAGCTCTGCCAAGCTATCGGACCATGTGTTCCCCCCAACCGTTGTGGAAACCCTTCGGGAAACACTTGGTGGAGGATGGCGGGGAAGATCAGAGGGAGGCGGAGGAGGAGGTGGAGTAGGAGGAGGAGGGGGCATCTTTGGAGCCTCTGGGGATACTCTTCGGGCCTCCTGGGAGCTTCCTGGGAGCCCCTTGGAGGCATCTTGGGGGCCTCCTTGGGCCTCTTGAGGGCCTTTGGGAGCTTCTCGGGGGCCTCTTTGGCAGTCTTGGTAGGCTCCTGGCCAATCTGACGCCGTCGGGCGCCGTCTTGGGGGCCTCTCTGGGCCGACTTGAGGTCCTCTTGGGGTGCTCCAGGGCCGTGTTGGAGGCCAAATTTGGCGTCTTGGAAGCCTCTTGGGCCGTCTTGGGGCCCTCTTGGGGCCATCTTTGGAGGCTCTCGGGCCGTCTTGGGCCGTCGGTAGGCCGAAAAGAAGCACATGCAAACATCCTTCAAGAACCTAGGGAAAAACAATGATTTTGGCCTCTTCGAGCCTTCTTCGAGGCCCTCTTGGAGGCTTCTTGGGCCGTCTTGGGCCATCTTAGGGCCATCTTCGGCCGTCTTGGTGGGCTCCTGGCCAGTCTGACGCCGTCGGAAGCCGTTTGGGGGACCTCTCTGGGCCGACTTGGGGCCCTCTTGGAATGCTCCAGGGCCGTCTTGGAGGCCTTCTTGGGCGTGTTAGAAGCCTCTTGGGCCGTCTTTGGGCCCTCTTGGGGCCGTCTCGGGGGCCTCTTGGGCCGTTCTGGGGCCATCTTGGAGGCCTCTTCGGTGATTGTGGGGCGATCTTTGGTCGCTATTGGGCCGTCTCGAGCCGTCGGAAGGCCGAAAAGACGCAAATGCTCAAATCCTTCAAACACCTTTTGGAAAATCAATGATTTGGCCGCTTGGCCTCTTCGGGCCTTCCTGGAGGCCCTCTTGGCGTCTGACGCCGTCGGACGCCGTCTTGGGGGCCTCTCTAGGCCGATGTTTGGCCCTCTTGGGGTGCTCCAGGGTCGTCTTGGAGGCTCCCTGGGGGGCGTCTTAGAAGCCTTTCAGGCCGTCTTGGGGCTCTCTTGGAGCCGTCTAGGGGGCCCCTTGGGCATTCCTGAAGCCATCTTGGAGACCTCTTGGGCGCTCTGGGGGCGACCTTGGGGGCCTCTTGGGCCGTCTTGGGCCGTCGGAAGGCCGAAAAAGAGCAAATACGGAAATCTGTCAAACACCTAGGGGAAATCAATGATTTTAGCATCTTCGGGCCCTCCTGGAGGACCTCTCGGATGCCTCTTGGGCTTTCTTGGAGGCCTCTTCGGCACCTCTTGGGCAGTCCTGTGCCGTCTTGAAGGCTTCTTGGGCGGACTTGGAAGTATCTTGGACCCTCTTGGGCCGTCTTGGAGGCCATCTTGGCCATCGTGGAGGCATCTTGGAGGCCAGCTTGGGCCATCTTGGAGCCGTCTGGAGCAGGAAAAACCTTTGCAACCGGGTCTTGCGATCCTTTCCGGGTGGCCGGCGGGATGGGCCGAAACCCCTGGGGGAGAGTTCTGTTGGAAAAGGAATCAAAACCGACATCCAAAGGATCTAGCACGCCAGGCACCCTTGTGGCAAGCCAACAGGGGGCGGCGGATCGAACACGCCTACGGCGAATCACCGTCGCCCCTCTGCCCTTTCGGAAGCGCCTATGTGGCCGAACGATGTGGCCAGAGGCCTGCCAAGCTATCGGACCATGTGTTCCCCGAATCGGTTTGGAAAGCTTTCGGGGAACACGTGGGGGAGAATGAACATGAAGAGGAAGAGGAAGAGGCCTCTTGGGCCGTCCTGAGCCGTCGGAATGGCGAGAAGAAACAGATGCCAACATCCTTGAAATACTTAGGGTAAATGAATGATTCTGGTCTCTTCGGGCCCTCCTGGAGGACCTCTTGGAGGCCTCTTGGGCCGTCTTGGAGGCCTCTGGGGGGCCTCTTGGGCCGTCTTGGACTCTCTTGAGCCGCCTTGGAGGCCTCTTGGGGCCAAGAGGGCCGTCTTGGGCAATATTAACGCCATGTTAGGCCGTCTTGGAGGCATCTTGGGCCGTCTTGGAGGTATCTTGGGGGGCGAAGCTATCGGACCATGCGTTCCCCGAGTCGGTTTGAAAAGCCTTCGGGGAACACGTGGGGGAGGAAGAGGAAGAGGAGGAGAAGGAGGAAAAAGAAAAAGGGGGAGGATGCCTCTTCGGAGCTTCTTGAGGCACTCTTGGGCTCGATTGGGCCATCTTGAGACCGTCTTGGAGGCCATGCTGGTGCTATCTTGGGCTCTCTTGGAGCCTCTTGAGGGCCTCTTGGGGCCTTTTGGGGACTTCTCGGGGGCCTCTTTGGCCGTCTTAGGGCGTTCCTGGCCCGTCTGACGCCGTCGGGAGCCATCTTGGGGGCCTCTCTGAACCGGCCTGGGGCCCTCTTGGGGCGCTTCGGAGCCGTCTTGGACGCCATCTTGTGCGTCTTGGAGGCCTCTTGGCCCGTCTTGGGGCCCTCTTGGGGCCGACTTGGGGGCCCTTGTGCCATCAAGGGGCCCTCTTGGAGGCCTCTTGGGCGATCTTGGGGCGATCTTGGGGGCCTCTTGGGCCGTCTTGATCCGTCGGAATGCCGAGAAGAAGCACATGCCAAATCCTCCAAAACCCTCCAAAAACCTGATTTTGGCCTCTTCGGACCCTCCTGGAGGACCTCTTGGAGGCCTCTTGGGTCGTATTGGGCCGTCTTGGAAGCTTCTTGGACGAACTTGGAGATATCATGGACTCTCTTGAGCCGTCATGAGGCCGTCTTGGACCATCTTGGGCGGATTTGGAGGCCATCTTGGACCATCTTGGGGGCCATCTTGGGCCAACGCGGCCATCTTCATCTTGGAGGCCATCTTGAGCTGTCTTGGAGGATTGTTTTCCGGATCGAGGTCCTTTCCAGGTGGCCGGCAGGACGCGCCGGAGCACCAGAGGGAGTTCTTTTGGAAACGAACCAAAACCAAAAACGATAGGATATGGCACGCCAGGCACCCCTCTTGCAAGCAACAGGGGGCGGCTGACTCCCTGTGGGCCTCCGGCGCGTCCCGCCAAGGCCCCGGGAAGGTGCTCAATCCGTAAACAAAGTCCTCCAAGATGGCTCAAGATGGCGCCAAGATGGCCACGTTGGCCCAAGATGGCCTCCAAGATGGCCTCCAGGTTCGCCCCAGATAGTGCAAGACGGCCTCCAAGACGGCACAAGAGAGTCCAAGACGGCCCAAGAGACCCCCAGAGGCCTCCAAGACGGCCCAAGATGCCTCCAAGAGGTTCTCTAGGAGGGCCCGAAGAGGCCAAAATCATTGCTTTCCTGTAAATTTTTTTGAAGATTTTGGCATTGGCTTCTTCTCGGCATTCCGACGGCTCAAGACGGCCCAAGAGGCTGCTACTTTTACTACTACTACTACTACTACTACTACTACTACTACTACTACTACTACTACTACTACTACTACTACTACTACTACTACTACTACTACTACTACTACTACTACTACTACTACTACTACTACTACTACTACTACTACTACTACTACTACTACTACTACTACTACT